GCTCAGTGGATAGAACATCGGCCTGCGGACTGAAGGGTCCCAGGTTCAATTCCGGTCAAGGGCATGTACCTTGGTTTCGGGCACATCCCCAGTGGGGAGTGTGCAGGAGGCAGCTGATCGATGTTTCTTTCTTACTCTCTATCCCTCTCCCTTCCTCTCTGTAAAAAACGAGTAAAATATATTTATAAAAAAAAAAAAAAGAGGGGATCCGGGCACAGGCAACACAGCGCGGCAACTGTGGGGGGACAGGGAGAACGTAGCCATCTGCAGGCCAAGCAGAGACCTCAGGAGCAACGTAAACCTGGAGGGGCCCTTTTCCGGTCCTCCTGCCAATTTTTGGTGTTCCTTCTTGATATCTCTTGCTCTTTGAGAAATGAAATAAGTGCCTAGCACTACCCCTCCTTCCCGCTCTGCACTGGGGAGTATACTTTTTAAACGTTCTCCTAGATTGAAGCTCACACTTAGAACCACTAGTTTAGTCGGTGGGCACGTCCCCCACCCCCTTCTCCTATTTGATTTCGCTTTCAATCTTTAATGTCCTCCAGAGTCAGCGAGGATCAGATATTTTCAATCTACCTTGCTTTTAATGTTGAAAACACACATCAGACAATAGTGATATTTGCAATAGAAATGCTATCACTTGCAACTGAGATTGTAATTTAAATGAAAAATGAAATATCTGGAACACTGAATCCTCTGATTTATTTCTCACCTGGACAGCTTCACAAACGTCATTCTTGCCGCTCTTCCCCTGGTCCTTCTCCCCCACCCCTTCACTGTGTATCAATAGGATGTCAGACATTGTCTATATTCAGATGTCTGTATTCAAAGCCTGACACAAGCCCCACCTCAACAGCCATGCTCTCCTTCCCAGATTCTTAGCAGGCAGTCGCTCTGTCATTAAGATTCCTATAGTAATTATTGCCTACATTTCTTCACTCTATTTTATTTTTATCGTTGTCTACATTTTTTATCATACTGTTACAGGATTCCAGGGCAATAGGAATAGGGAAATTGAGACAGGAAAGTTAAGGCCAAACAGTATGGGAAATTTGCAGCCAGTTTGTAAATAACAGGCCATTATCTTCCCCAGCCAAAGACACTTGAGAGCAAATGATTAAAAGCCTCCCTAACAAGAGAATGCAGGAATAGAGAGGGAAGGGGAAAGAGGGAAAAAGGGGCAGTTTTACTCCGTAAGCCAGTGGTTCTCTGCCGGAGGCCGGTCCATCCTTGTTGCTTGACACAGTCGCTGCAGGGAAGAAACATCTGCACAGCATATGTTTCAAGGTACCTTGCGTATACAGCATACTGTACTTAATATGTTTGCTCCCCCTTTTTTAGCGCTATGTGTTCTCTAACCAGAACCACCTCCCTGAGAAAGGTTGTTTCCCCAGGTGGGGATTTTTCCCTGGAGTTAGGGATTAACAGGACTAAGGAAGAAAATAAATCAGTAAAACCCCCTAGTGTTACAGAAATACCATGTACTACTTATGAAGAACTTGGACTAAGACTCTTGGCAATAAATTTGGGACTTGTTGGGCCCACATCCCCAGGGGTCTGCCCACCAGGGAAAGCACCAAAGCCTATACCCCTGGAGACCCACTGACACAGGGCCGTCCCAGGGAAGGCAAGCAGCGGGGCTGGGAGGACATACCCTTTACTGGGTAGGATAATCTCTTTCAGTCACTTCCTTGTAGCTTATCAGTAGAGCAGTAGAATAGTGACCTTGGAATAGCCCTTATAATGGAACACAGAGATTAACCTAGACAAGATTAAAATCAACAGAACTAGATAGAGACTGGATTTTTGGCAAAGGTCAGATAAGAAGCTATGGAATTGTCAAGGGCGGGAGGAAACATATGTAATGCTCTTTGTAATACTTTAAGCAATAAAAATAATAATAATAATAATAATAAAGAAGCTATGGAAATGAAACAAGGGATTGTAGAAGGTTACCCAAAACATATCATGATGTGATTATAGAGGCATGCTTATAGGATCAAATGGTATAAACACAGATGTACCAGGACAATAAAAAGAGAACCTGGCTATGCTTATCAACTGAACGCTGTCTTCGTGTCATTCCTTCTTCACCGACTCCGTCCACACCTTTGGGGAACCCCTGGACCCGCTGGAGCTGGACCCCAACAGTTCTCAACCTGTGGGTTGCGACCCCTTTGGCGGTCAAACGACCCTTTCACAGGGGTCGCATAAGACCATCCTGCATATCAGATATTTACATTACGATTCATGACAGTAGCAACATTACAGTTATGAAGTAGCAACGAAAATAATTTTATGGTTGGGTCACAACATAAGGAACTGTATTTAAAGGGCCAGAAGGTTGAGAACCACTGCCCTAAGCAGAGAAGCCAGCAGTCTCAAGGATTGGCAAGGTAAAATTGCCAGGTGCTTCTCATGAATTCTGGAAAGGCCACAGAACGTAGAACGAGACCTTGAGAATTTAATCTATACCAGCAGAGGAATTCTGAGACCTACAGGCAGGAGGATATAGAACCCCTTGGACCCCCACCCACCTTGCTCTTCAGATTAGCTGAGAGCCTGGAGGCACTTCATAAGCCAGATGTATAGATTTGCTTCTTTAATCATGTTTCTTGATTTAATAAACTGGCTTAATCACAATCCCCATTCTCATTAGCTCCTAGGGGGCCAGTAGACTTGCTGACATCTCCATTGCCAAGCCCCATGTTTTAAACCTAGTTCCCCTTCAAAGTGTTTGACAACCGTCAAATGTAGAGACCAATAAAGCAATAGCTGGCTTTTCTTTTGAGAACTGAGTTTTTCCCCCCTTCACTATATATATGCTAAGTTTAGCTGTAAACTTATGAGCATAGAATGCAGAGAAAGTCTTTACTTGAAAATGTAATAACTGCAAAACTTAGGCTTAAGAATTAGAGGTATGGGTGTATATTTCAATTCAAATCAAGAAAATTTAGAAGCAGTAGTACAGAGAATGACGCTGTATTCTTTACTGTGCTAATATAGAATAAATAGTGTTTGCCTTCTCAGTGATTCAGTTGTGCTTTCTTTATTGATGGTAGGTATGTGCCCACAGGCCTCTCATTCTAAGCTACAGAAGTCACATGCCTGAGTTGTTACTTGAAGACTTGCTTTCAAGACATTAAGGTTATTAGTTTGCTTTTACAGCATATTGTCTCTGCATCTGTATCTTTACAATATTGTCACTGAAAGACAGTATCTCATAGGTCCTTGACAAGTTTTCTTGAATGTAGTACCAAAAAAATGAAAATCTAAAACATGCAAGGTACAGCAAACCCCTACGAGGGGCCTCTTTATTGAAAAAACAACAACACAGGAAACCAAGAACATTTTCATACACTGGTTAGACAACTGCCAATTATTTCACAACTGCACTAGTAACATACAGGGTACGGTTAAAGTAGGTTTACAGTTTAGCACACAAGTTTATTCTTTAATTTTTTCTTACTGGATTGATTTCTATACAAACAACTGTAACCCTACTTTCACCCCACCCTGTATTTGGATGATGCATGACTGGATTTAACTTTGCGAGAACTCTTGCACTTGCACCTTTTCAAGAGAGCAGTGTAGCATCACAAAACACCAGCCTATGTTCAGGTCCCTAAAGCCACCGGGCTCACTCCTTTCATTGCAGAGGTGGGAAGTGAAGCACCAATTAAAGAGGCTCAAAAGTCACCAGAGGAACAGAATTGTCGTGCAAATACTGTTAAGTGTAAGGCTACCTTCCCATCTTGATCAAACAATTGTAGCGAGAACGTGGAGCAACTTTACCTTGCCGTTTACCACTTTCCACAGCTGGACCCAGTGACTAAATAACACGCTAAGTAAACAAATGATTTAACCTGGAGAACAATGTTTGAAATTAAGAAAAAGAAAGGACCAAATTTTAAGGCCTTGGTAAAATGCGGATAGTGCTTCAGGCAGTACTCCCATTCCCACCCCCACACACACTTAACCCCAAGTGGCAAAAGCAATTATCCAAACTGCCCGAGTGTCCAGCTCTTCCTAGGACTCTGTGGGTGGCCCTAAAAAGGGCCTTTAGGATTGGTGCACGTGAGGGCGCAGCAGAGGCTTAGCCCCCAAAGCCATACAGGGTGCGGCCCTGCCGCTTGAGCGCGTACACCACGTCCATGGCCGTGACCGTCTTGCGCTTGGCGTGCTCCGTGTAGGTGACGGCGTCCCGGATCACGTTCTCCAGGAACACCTTCAGCACCCCCCGCGTCTCCTCGTAGATGAGGCCCGAGATCCGCTTGACACCCCCACGCCGAGCGAGGCGGCGGATGGCGGGCTTGGTGATGCCCTGGATGTTGTCTCTCAGGACTTTGCGGTGCCGCTTCGCGCCGCCTTTGCCCAAGCCTTTACCGCCCTTGCCTCTCCCAGACATCGTTACTAGGACCTGAGAACACAAGCCTTGGTCCGGGAGCGCCCAGCTCAGGCCTTAATATACAAGAGCATCGGACCAGATTGAAAACCTCAAGCGCGCGGGCGGGAAGCAGCCGAGGTTGTCCCCGCCCCTCCCGTTCCTCTTTCCTACGTGTCCCACCCCCTTCTCCACGCCCCACGCCGCCCTCCAACGGACACCACCTGCCACAGTCCCGGGAGAACTCAGATTCCAAAGCCAGGCTTCCGGATTCCACAGCTGTTTTCGTCCTTTTCTAGTCGTCTGGGCTCCCCCGAGGAGTTAAATTTAGGCGAAGAGGAAAGGTCTTTCTGAGTTAAAATCCTGGCGAACTACCTGGGGACCGAGCATTTTGCCCAAGGACGTCCAGCTGTCCCGCCGCATCCGCGGGGAGCGGGCTTAAAGCGGACGGCTTTAAGGAGACGACTCCAAGGCTCTTTTCAGAGCCGCCACCTTTAGAAAAGCATGGTTTCACCTTCCCACTGAGCCATCTCGCATCGTACACGGGTGTTGTGGGCTGAGGGTGTACTCGTATTTGTCAGTTAATGTCCTTTGGCCTGCTGACCGGGACTAGACGGAACAGCAGAGGCAAGATTGCTGGTTGACTTCACGCCTGCAACACCATTCTTATTAAAAACTTGAAAAAGGGTAGAATCGGCTACCAGCCGTTCACAATATATTCAGAGGTGGTTTTACAAATCTGAACACAAATTGGCGGCGCCTTTTGAAGGTCATAAGTAATTCCCAATGCTGGCTTTCAACTCGTTCTAGTTCCTGGAATCATGCCGGATGTTAGGCAAAATGCTCAATTCCCAGGTAGTTCGCCAGGATTTTAACTCATTTTTAAAAAGGAAGGTGGGGGCCTGCCTGCTTCCTAGTCAGAGCATGTCGGGCCCCTGTGTCTCAAGGTTGTTGTTTTTCCTTAATTGCATTGTGTTGGCTCCATTTTAATTTCTTCTTTAACAATAAACAGCTGGGACCATCCCAAAGACAAGCCATGCACACAGCTGTAGTCATGTATCTGCAAAGCATCGAATTAAATGCACGCTTTTGTCACGTCAAAAAAAAAAAAGGTGGGGGGTTGAGACATTGTGCCGAGTCCTGAGATGTGAAAGATCCCGAGGACTGGAGGAAGTAGAGGCAAGTTTTCTTTAAAAAATTAGGAACCCTTTTCCAGCTTTGTATTGGAAAACTACATAAATCCCATTTCTAATTGTTTTTTCACTGCATAACACAGGTGGCGTAAACCAGAATGGGAATGTCTGCGGAATACCTGGGGGGGGGGGGGGGGCGGTTCCAATGTGAGCTAAGGTATTGTTCCAAAAATCAAAACCGATTTCCACAAAGCACAGGACGAAACGACGGGAAAAAATAAGAGAAAGTTTAACTTGTATTTAGCTGGCGCTGCAAATCTCTTCCACACACGACTACAAGAAAAGGGAAAGGCAACAGCAAAACAGATCCCAAACTGGAAACTACCGCTTGATACAATTTCCTGGTTAGGTGAAGTGGGACATTTTGATTGGCTCGCAAGGCTTTGGTTCTAATAACCACTGAGGGAGCGTGAGCAGCGTCTTATTCACACCGGCTCTGACCCTATGACGTCACTGTTGGAAATGAACCAATGAAAACGCAGTGCTGTCCGAGTCTCATTTGCATATCGGCCCTATAAGTAGCTCGCAACCAACTCGCTGGTACTCGCGGTTGGTTCAATTCGTGAGCGGTTTCTCTTCCCGAAGATGCCGGATCCAGCGAAGTCTGCTCCTGCTCCCAAGAAGGGCTCCAAGAAGGCTGTGACCAAGGTGCAGAAGAAGGATGGGAAGAAGCGCAAGCGCAGCCGCAAGGAGAGCTACTCCGTGTACGTGTACAAGGTGCTGAAGCAAGTTCATCCGGACACCGGCATCTCGTCCAAGGCCATGGGCATCATGAATTCCTTCGTCAACGACATCTTCGAGCGCATCGCCGGCGAGGCGTCGCGCCTGGCGCATTACAACAAGCGCTCGACCATCACGTCCCGCGAGATCCAGACGGCCGTGCGCCTGCTGCTGCCCGGCGAGCTGGCCAAGCACGCGGTGTCTGAAGGCACCAAGGCCGTCACCAAGTACACCAGCTCCAAGTAAGAACGCACAGGAGACGCGATAGAACAACCACTTTACCCCAAAGGCTCTTTTCAGAGCCACTTCAGTTGTTGGAGAAGCAGCTGTAAGCACTTGTTGCGAGGCTGGTAAGCTCTGGTTACGTGAAGTGGGGGAGCCCCACGGTCACGTGTGTATTAGGGCCCAGGGCTAGGTTGGGGCCGTAGGTTACCACGAGCCTCCTGAGGCTCTCTGGCTCTCCTGTAACTGGCGGGACCCTGCGTGGTAACAGGTTTACCTTCTACTGACTCTTTCCTTGGTACTCAATGGACGCTTAAGTACACAGGGCACGGAGGTTTTTTTCCTTCTTTGCCCCTAAGTGTGTTGACATAAGCTTGCTGGGTCTTACTCTCCCTCGCGAGTATGGGCAGAAAGATTTACTCTCCACTGGTTTTTATTCTAGTTACTACTAATTGTCTTTAGCTCATTTTATCCAATGAAACCATACTCTAGCTTATTGGCCTACAAAGTATGTCCGCACTTGGCTATCTCCCACTTTCCTGTCCAGTAACTCAACCTGCCAGAAGCCGGCCCATCCTTGCTGCTTGACACAGTCGCTGCAGGGAAGAAACATCTGCACAGCTTATGTTTCAAGGGACCTGGCGTATTAATATGGCATACTGTTCTTAATATGTTTGCTCCCTTTCCTGGTGCTGTGTGTTTTAACCAAGGTTACCTCTCCGAGAAAGGTTGTTTCCCCACGTAGGGATTTTTCCCTGAAGTTAGGGAGGGAATAAAACCCCTTAACTAAGTGCCAGGCGGGTAGTTAATCACTTTAACTACGAACAATCATCCTTAAGCTACATAATCCTTACTCCCTGGAATGGAGATAAGAAACGCCCTAACCTTTGGAATAGAAATTGATAGGATTAAAATCAACTGGTATAAATACATGTAATAAGACAATAAAACACAGAACCTGGCTGGAGAACTAACTATGCTGATCAACTGAACGCTGCCTCCATGTCATTCATTCTTCGCCGACTCCGTCCACACCTATGGGTAACCCCTGGACCTGCTGGGGCTGGACCCCAACATCAACCAGCCATTTTGTCCCCTGTTCCATGGGGCATTGGGCAATTAGCCAGAGATTGCTTGCCAGCACTTGAGGGGGGGGGAGGGGGGTACTGTTAGCATCTAGTGAGGTGGTTCTCAACCTTGGCTGCACATTAGTCACCTGGGAATCTTTAAAATCCTCATTTCTGGGCCTCATCCTCCAGAAATTTCTTTGTTATGGGATGAGGCCACAACATTAGTAACAAAGACACAATTTCCGGAGGACGAGGCCCAGAAATCAGGATTTTAAAGATTCCCAGGTGATTCTAATGTGCAGCCAAGGTGGAGAACCACTGATTTGGTGGGTGCTAGCATCTAGTTGCCAGGGAGCAGCCTCATAACCAATAATCACCTGGCCCAAAATGTCGCCTTTCCTGAGTAGTGAGAGAAACCACAGCCCAAACAACTTTCAGAGCATTTATTTAATCCTTATTTCCGTCAAACCTTTCCTCACTACCCAACCAATATTGCTCTTAGTGGAAGCTGAGCAGTAAACAGACCTGGACACCTCCACAGGAAAATTGTCTTTTCTGCAACAAACTTTCCTGGTTTCTAAGAACCACTTTGGTGAGATCTTTCCAGGTGACGTTCCTAAATTTCCTGGGGAGGTGATTTTTAGTGCTCCCAGGTGTTCTGTGTTTTTGTTTGTGTGTGTGTGTGTTTAACATTATTTTATTTCAGAAAGAAAGGGAAAGGGGGAGAGAACATCAATGATGAAAGGACCATTGATTGGCTGCCTCCTGCACAAACCACACTAGGGATTGAGCCCAAATGTGCCCTTGACCGAAATCGAACCCAGGACCCTTCAGTCCGCAGGCTTTCTATCCACTGAGCCAAACCAGCTAGGACTTACTATTTTCTTAATAGGCTTCAGGGGAATGAATACAAAAGTCCAGAGTTTTAACATGTGAGGTGAATATTTAAGGACCTCTCTGTTCAAAACCTGCATAACAATAATTCAAGACTAATCATGACAAAGGCTGGTGGGTGTTTTACCAAGTAAAATATATCTTTGAGGCAAAAGGAAAATCTGTTTCCAATTCACTTAAATCAGGCTTTGAAATTAAGCCATTCTTGATCAATTTGGGGGAATTTACATAACTTTCTGCTTTAAATGAATTCTATCATTTTATTAGAAGAGTTCAAACATATCTAGTTAAAACTTGTATAAATTGGGCCATAATATATTTTTCATTGATAAATCACATTCTCAGTGAGTCATCTTTCCCCGGCCAGTACCAGACCACAAGAAGCAAGGGCAAGATGACTACACTGATGGCGCTCGACCAGGGACTGAGTTCGGGGGAAATAAAAAAGGTGGTCAGGTGAAAGGAGGCTCCAAGGCGCGCTCAATGAGTAAGCTTAAAAAACAAAAGAAAAGAGTAAGCTTAAAAAGTAAAAAGGCCAAAAAACAAAGTAAGGTACAGAGCCGAAGTGTGGTAATATTAGCTCAGTGTAAAACTTGGGAAATTCAGGAAATAAGCTGTAAGAAAATAAGCGGTAGAAATAGAGAGTAAGTTTAAAAAGCAAAAGTATGATAAGAAGGCCTAAAAACAAAAATAAGGTAGGGAGCCGAAGTGTGTCTTTTCTCAATCCTTTCCTCCCCCCTGCTCAGGATCACCAGGGCCTGAGTTTTGGCTGTAGGAAGTGGCCTCGGACCAGGGACTGAGTTTGGGGGAAATTTAAAAGTGGTCAGGTGAAAGGAGGCTCCAAGGTGCGTGCAGAGAGTAAGCTTAAAGAAATGAAAATAAGAAAATAAGAAGTTAAGCTAAAAGCAGGAAGTTAAGCTAAAAGCAGGAAGTTAGGCTAAAAGCAGAAAGTAAGGTAGGGAGCCGAGGTTTGGTAATAGCTCGGCGTAAAACATGGGGCAATGCTTAATAAGCATTTTTAAAATTTTCTTAAGGAGAGAATAAGTAAAAAATAGACAAGAAATAAGGTAGAAAAGAAGTGGATCCCAAAAAACAAAACAAAACAAAAAAGTGGTAGAAATAGGGGTAGAAAATAAGTAAGATAGAAATAAGCTGTAGAAGTAAACAAGCGGTAGAAATAAGCTGTAGCTCTTAGGTTTTGTTAAGCTAAAGACAGGTAAGGTAGAAATAAGAGAAATCTGTAGAAATAGAGAAATAAGTAAGCTATAGAAATAGGAATAGAGAAATAAGTAGAAATAAGTGGTAGAAAATAAGAGATCTCTTTAAATAAGCTGTAGGCAGTAGGAATAGAGAAATAACTAAGCTATAGAAATAGGCAGTAGAAATAGAGAAATAAGTAGAAATAAGTGGTAGAAAATAAGAGATCTCTTTAAATAAGCTGTAGGCAGTAGGAATAGAGAAATAACTAAGCTATAGAAATAGGCAGTAGAAATAGAGAAATAAGTAGAAATTAAGTGGTAGAAATAAGCTGTAGAAGTGGGAGATAAGTAAAAATAAGCGGTAGAAATAGAAAATAAGCGGCAAGAAGCAAGCGGTAGGAAGTAAGAAAATAAGTAATTAGGAGGTACAAAATAAGGTAGAAATCTCCTAGGTTTTGTTTAAGCCGCTGTAAGAAATAAGTAGAAATAAGCGGTAGAAAGCAAGCGGCAAGAAGCAAGTGGTAGAAAATAGGAGGTAGAAAATAAGAAGTAATTAGGAAATATAAAATAAGGTAGAGGCTTTGGCTATCTTTGTGCGATCTGATAGCTCCCTGGGACTTTGGGTCTGTGTGAGACGCCAGACTCAGAATTGGAAGTCTCCAGCTCTGCAGGACCGAGGGTTGTTCGTTTCCATGCAGCAGCGGCTAAAGAACGAAGCTGAGAAGGGACCAGACTTCCACCGGTGTGGACAGGGCTGATTTGACGGGGACTGGTGCGGACTCAGTGTCGAGGTCAACCGTCCAAACAGTGTGATCCCAGAGGACTGGTTTTGCATCAACGACATCTTTGCATCGGCGAGATATCAGCATGGAGTCAGCTGGAGAAGATGGCGACTGAGGCCAAGCAGATGTTAGAAAAGCAAGTGGAAGCTGTGCTAGCGTTGGTGAACTGTCAGTTTTCTGTAAAATCTTGCGGAGCTAAATCTAAAGACTTTGAGTAAGATATCCTGAAAATGTTGACATGTTTGTAGTTTGATTTTGCATTGGTATTGCTTTGTTATTAGCCAGAGTTTTGTTCTCTTGGTAACATTGCTGTTTATGGTTTTGTTAATA